ATAAATCTGCCATGAGCTATTTTGTCAACCAGTCGCCGAGCTTTTGATTTTCACTCGCCACTGTTCGTCTGCAATATTTATCAATACCAAGCCACTTTTGAATGTTCAAATGTATAAATGTAAATTTATATATTTATTATTCACAGCAGCTGCTCTTGAATGAATACAGAACAAGCATTTAATCGAAAATTCCCTCCTCGGCGGCCTTGTCGACCAAGGCGATCAGGCCAGCGGTGACCTCGAGGCCCACCTCGGTGATTTGGTTGGAGGGCAGGAAGAAACCGAAGGTTCCCTTGTCCCGCAGTTCCACGGTGCAGGTAAAGGGGATTTTCTTCACGCCGTAGGCCCAGTCCTTGGCGGCTCCAGAGACGACATCTGTTGCGGGTACATCGCATACATTAGTAGGAGTTCCCCCAAATGACCCATCATCCCAAAAACTCACAGTTAAGCAGGCCACTGGCTCCGTAGGTGAAGGTGGAACCGTAGACATCAGCGGCAGCATCTGAGAAAGCGGCAGCAATGCGCTTCATCTGCTCGTAGTTCGGGGGGAACTCGGTGTTGGAGTGTCCGTAGGGCAGGAGCACATACTGTCCGTAGGCGTGGTAGGCCATGTACGACCGGATGTAACCGTCCTCGAAGGAACTCACGAATTTCTGCAGGGAGAGGATCTCCACCTCAGTGTTGGGCTCGTCGCCGCCGAACCAGTGATCGCAGGGCTCGTCGATGTTCCAGCCGGCACCACCCCAGTGGTAGTCGAAGTTGCGGTTCATGTCGATGCCATAGCAGTCTCCAGTATCGTTTCTGTATCCGTTGGGGCGACGGTTCTTGCGCCACAACCTCTCCACATCGTGGGTGTAGACAAAGCCATCGGGGTTCACCATGGGCACCACAATCCAGTCGTACTCCTCGCTCAGACGCTGCATGGCGGGATCCTCAGAGTTGATCAGCTGGTTCAGGAGGAAGGTGACGGTGGCCGATGAGATCCACTCCATGGCGTGGATGTTGCCCTCCAGGAAGATGGCCTTGTTGCCCGATCGCTTCGACAACCTAATGCTCTTGATGTCACGACCCTCGTAGGACTGTCCAATCACTTTGCACTCCAGGAAATCGTGGGCAGCACACTCCTGATCCACCCAATCGTAAATGGTCTCCAGGGAGTGGTAGCCCTCCCATTCCATTTGGGAATCGTCGCCGACAGAAGAGTCGTCTATCAATCTGTATGGGGGGAATTGTTTCAGAAATGTAATTTATTTGAGATTTGATTACGCACTTCTGCAGATCATCGACAATCACTTCGTAGACAATTTCCAGGAGTTTCATGGTCTTCTCAAAAACCCTGTGGAACAAAGGACCCACAATAACATGGTACTTGTTTCCGGGAGCACCCAGTTCGTTGAGGATGTGCACCTATAAAAAGGATCCAAGCGAGAAATAGTTATTAACTTAACAGAATATATTTGTATCCACTTACAGTGATGTGCTCGTGAATCTTCTTAAGCTCGTCCATCTGCAACTCCGTTTCAATGTCCAGTTGGTAGATCCTGAAATTGTCGTACCGCGCTGCCATGCGACCAGGAGCGGACTTGGCCGTCACCATGGCCACCAGGGCCATCACGGCGATCAGGAGAATTGGTAGTTTCATTTTTTAATGTTTAGTGGGCTGAACGTTGCAGCGTTTACTGTGATGTTCCGGATCCCAGTCAGGGTTTTTATAAGCTGCAGGAGTGGCCACTCCACTGGGGCGTTATCTAATGCCGATACGGGGCTGCGATCAGTCATCTGTCGTGTGTCTCCTCCGATCTTATCGCCCATCCAACCTGCCTACCACAAAGTAGCGCTGGACTTTGCCATTCAGCGGATACGTGGGTAGCAGAGCTTCTTACACGTAAAATAAATAGTTAATTAAAAACACAGACAAGAATTCTTTAAGTGTGGGGTGTCTAGTTTAGTCTTTCCGAAATTATAAATAATGAAATACAATAATCAAAGCTTTGGAGTTACAATACGCAGGCTTTTATATTTATAGGATTATAAGTGATCTTCCGATCTTCTTCTCCCTGTAACAAAATATTAATACATAAAAGCAATGTAAAATATTAAATTATTATACATTTAATACTATCTGATTTTTCTCCGTGCACTTCCTCTGGGAAAGTCAGTCGAGTCAAATTTCTAAATGAAATCATTCACCGAGTGTAGAGGCACTCGCCTTATCAGGCAAATTCAATTAATTTAATACTCCTCCAAGCGTCTGCGCGTGAAGCACTTCGAAAAGCGTTTGTAGAATGCACTAGCAAACTGAAGATCGACATCTTCAAGTGACTTCTACGGTGAGGATAGTTGGGTTCGTCAAACATTCTGCTGTGAAACCAGTGCATTCATTCAGTCAATGTGCTATTTAATCAAGGAAGTCATTGTTTATAACCCCTAACTAATGCCCTTCTCCTTTAGTCACTTAATTTATCCAACCCGATTTGCGTGTAAATTTTATGTCTTATTGTTTGTAGACCTGAAATAGAATTGCTAACTGTTATTACTTTTAAAACGAAACTGTTCGTGTTTGTTTTTCAAGTTATGTTAAAAAAATGTTTCTTCAGAGAATAATGCTGTGATAAAAGAATAATGGCCTGTTGATCAAATTGTTCGACCAGTCATATCTGGTTGACAAAACCTGTACTTTTTTCTAGTCTTAACGCTACAAGGTGATGGAACGTTTTCAGGCTTGGGGTCGTAATCTACACGTAAGAGCAGTACAGATCTTGTAACATTAAGTCGACCATTATTTGTCGACAAGTATAATTATTATACTCGTTACTCGCTGAATAAAAAGTTATACATGATTAGTCGGAAAGTATGTGATAGGTAGAAGAAGACGTTTCCGACCCAATAAAGTATAGTATTAAGAATCTAGCCATATCCGTCCGTCCGTAAGAAGGCTCAGATTTTGGAAACTGTAAAAGCTACAATATTGGGCATGCACACTCTAGAGATTCCTGCGAAGCGCAAGTTTGTCTCAGAAAAGTGCCATGCCAGCTCCAACGCCCACAAGCCGCCTAAACCTGTGGCTCCTACTGGGTTATGTTAGATTAAAAATTTTAACTGAAATGTATTGTATGTATTTATAAATACATCTCGCCAATGCCTTTCAATTGGCCTATAATGTTGCCACGCCTACTATATCGCCCACAAACCTCAAAAAAAGGTCCGCCTTTACGCTGATATCTCGGAAACTAGACAGTTAGATTCTAGACATTCTTGCGCAGCACAGGTGTATTTCAGCATAATGCTATGCCCACTCTAACGCCCAGAAACCGCCCGCAACTGTGGCACCCACACATAAATAAATTGTATTTTATTCCGCTTGTCAATACCTACCGGTGCGACGAAAGTTGTTTAAATCGGACCACTAGTTAATAAGTATTGGCCTGACCTTGGGCCAGTATCTAGCAAGAACATCGTCAATGACGATACAATTAATAAGTGTAAGATGTAATAGACGTTTAGACGTAAAGTTGTAAGCACCCCTTATACTCGAAAGTAAATTTATTTTGAATTTGGTTAGCGGAGTTACGGGTATCTCTTATGTTTTGGTCTGTGATTACTTTTAAAATTTTCCGAGAGTAGCTCGAGTGCCACTCGATGCCCAATGTTTTCAATTACATTTTCAATACATGCACCATACATTTTCTTTACACACTCCCATCATAGCAGTGACACCTACCTGACATAGCGGTGACACCATTCTGCCACTTTCGGGTGACCGTTTATGAAATAATTTTGGTATATTCGATTAAATGAAAATGGTATAAAAAGTATATTTTTTAGACCTGGTCACACCGAAGAGCGCCGCCATATTTCTTTTCTTCGTTTCCGGTGAGTGTGTGTACTCCGCGTTTTTTGGACTTAAATTCATTTTTATCAAAATATCCTTGAATTCCTGGCTTGATTTATGTAAAATACTATATTTAAGAGTAAAATCTACCGGGGTAGCCGATTATTGATAGTTTTGGCGGGCGATATGGGGGTAGAATTCAATTTGAAAAATCGATGAAAAACGACCCCCACCTGCGACATCTGACCGCCCTTTTAAACCGGCGCCAGATGTCTCTCCCTTAGCCTAATTGACACGATTTCCGCTGCAATTACCTAACCAAACGGTGTCCCCTTGTTTCCAGACAGACAAAGATGCCTGAACTGACCGAAATCAAGAACGAGGCTGCGCCCTCCACCTCCGCAGAGGCGAAACCCGAGGACGTGCGCGTCGAGGACGACGGCAGCGATAGCGACTCCGATGGCGGCATGCCCGGTCTGGAGGAGGCTGGAGCGGCCACCACACAGCTGGGCGGAGGAGCCACCGGTCTGCCCGTCGACCTGGTCTCGAAGGCCAAGCAGTCGCGCGGCGAGAAGAAGGCCAGGAAGATCATGCTGAAGCTGGGACTCAAGCAGATCCAGGGCGTCAACAGGGTGACGATCAGGAAGTCCAAGAACATCCTGTTCGTGATCAACAACCCCGATGTGTACAAGAACCCCCACAGCGACACCTACATCGTGTTCGGCGAGGCCAAGATCGAGGATCTGTCGCAACAGGCCCAGGTGGCCGCCGCCGAGAAGTTCAAGGCCCCCGAGGCTGCTGGCGCTGCCGACAGCGTGGGCGCCACCACTTCGGTGGCCCCAATTGCCGAGGAAGACGAGGAGGAGGTCGATGACACCGGCGTCGATGAGAAGGACATTGAGCTGGTCATCACGCAGGCCAACACGACGAGGGCAAAGGCCATCAAGGCTTTGAAGAACAACAGCAACGACATAGTCAACGCCATCATGGAGCTGACCATGCTCTAAAGCGGGCTCCAGCTGATGCTGCACTCCTGATTTTGTTGTTTACCCGCCTTTCGATACACTCTACTGACCCAAATGTTGTGCATGCCCTTTCGGGCAGCATGTTACACCAGTCGAACATTTAATTATATTTCAAAAGATTATTGAGTCTTAATAAAAGTGGATTTCTTTCAGATACGATTTAGTGTATTTTTCGACTAGCTTTGGTTTTCCTCCATGGGATGTCCTTAAAATGCCATAGCTTACCAAATTCGATTAAGTGTAGACTGAGGTTCCGGATTAAGTACTTTGAGATTATGGGACTGGCACAAAAGGGGTTACAATTGGGTATTAGCTATTACGTTCAGGTTGCGGCCAGCTTGAGGACGCGGGCTTGGCTGCGCGAGGACAGACGTATATCCGCAGGACTCTGCATCCACGGTTCTCCATCCGCCTGCATTGGCACTGTCTCCTTCACTTGCATCTAAAAGGGATTGTTGATTAACCGGGACTCAGGGCTTAGCCTTATTCTTACCCTTATTTGCTTGGCTTGGCCAATTCGCACCGGCTTGCTTATATTGCACTGCAGCTGAGCAATGTGAAAGGAGGAAACAATACCAAAAACCTCCATCATGCCATCGGAGATGGAGTTTACCATGCGCACTTCGCCGTTGGAATTGCTGAGCTCACAAAGCTTACAGCCAGCGCCCCAAGAGTCGATATTTAGGAACACAAGCGCCTGCAGCTCAGGCAGTTGCACTGGCTTGTTGTCCAGGTACAGAGTCAGCTTCTCCTCAAGGTGTTCGCAACCGGGTTGCATCACCTGTTGCGTTCCAAAGGTAAAGTACAGAAGCTGTAAACAAGATTGGGGAGATTAAGATTTAGACAGACACACTAGCTACTACCCTACCTTATTGAATATCCGACTGCTAAGCAGATAGAAACGAGACTCCCGCGTCTTGTGGAAGTTATAGGTGATGAACGCATCCACACCCACACTAAAATAGTTGTAAACATGGATCGTCTTTGTAGGGTGCCTCTGGATTGGCAGCCTGTAGTGCAGTTTCTCGATCTGCAGGTCATACCGGTCGAGATTTACGGAGCGGGCACGCCGAATACTTCTTAGGATCTCCACAGGATCAAGAACCGAGGGTGGCTCGGCTCCCCAGCCCAGGACTCGCGACAAATCGTTGCCTGTGCCCAGCGGCATGATGGCCACCGCAGGCTGGGGTTTTATGTTCAACGCGTAGATGGTATTGAGTACCCAGCCGATGGTGCCATCGCCGCCGGCCACCAGTATGCGACACGGGCGAGGACTGGCCTTGGCGACCCACTGGAGGGCATCTTGGGGACCCCTTGAGCCCAGTTCCATCACCTGCAGCGGATGTAGGTAACCGCGCAGCAGGGACAACACGTTGGCGCCCGTACTGCTGCCTGACTTGGTGTTGGCGATCACAATCAGTGGCTCCCAATTCTCGATGTCCGGCGGCGTGATGCTGGCCAGGTGGAGGCGCATCGAATCCCTAGTTCTTGCGGCCACGAAGCTGTAGGGCGGGAAGATCATGTCCTTGAACTCGCCAAAGTCGCAGGCGGCCTTGGTGTCGACGCGGGAGTAGCAGTCGTTGTGGTAGCACCGCTGGCACCAGGCACAGCGCCATCCGTACAGCCCGGGATCTGTGCTGACATGGTGGTCAACCTCCTCGTTGCAGTCAGCGCAGTGGACTCCCATGGGCAAATTGCCGTGGACCCACAGGTGCCGCACAGAGGACTCGTTGCGCAGCCACTTGTCCTTGCAGCGGTACTCCCGGTCCGCCCTTCGCTGGCAAGTGGGCGTGGCATGGGTGCACAGGCCGCAGCAGTCGCAAAAGAGTCCGGCGGAGGGGGTCAGCAGGATCTCGCAGACGTTGCAAAAGCAGGCCTAGTTGGAATTTATCATATTAAATATGGTTCTCAACTGGTGATTTCACTCACCTGTTCCAAGACCTTTATTGATTTCCAGCCGTGACGTGTTTTGAAGCTGCTCACGAAGTCCTCGGAAAGCAAACTACGGCAGAAGGCAAACAGGACTCCCAGGGCCAAGAGCGACCCTATCAGCGCCTCAACGCTCAGCTCAATGGTGGCTATGTCCATGCTCCACGCAGAGAATCCCCAATCGCGCTAAATACCCAGGTAATTTGGCATTTTGGCACGAATCGTTTGTTTTTGCCCCGTCGACTAGAGGTGGGCTCACTTTCGATAACAAAGGTGTATCGAGTTAATGGTCACCCTGGCCTCCAGCCTTTTGACGTTACCCACACTGCTTGTCAACTCAACCTCTCAAATCAGCTGTGAATTTGGCGTGTGAAAAAAGTCGACCTGAGAACAAATCGGAAGTTTAAGTCGAAAATCCAGCCAACATGAAGGTCATCTACAACACCCTGTTCAAGCGCACCTCCACCTACGCCGTGGCCATCATCGCATCGGCCTTCTTCTTCGAGCGCGCCATCGATGTCACGTCGGTCGCGATCTTCGAGGGCATCAACAAAGGCGTAAGTATAATCCTCTTATGTAATACGGGTTTCCTGGCCAAATATTGAGTTTTCCCCCCTTTGCAGAAACTCTGGAAGGACATCAAGGGCAAATACGAATAGATCACCATGATTCGTTGTAATTAGCAATAATAATCAACGTTTATTCTAAACGAAACGAAAACTAAGCGGGGTTTCTTTGGGTTATTTAGATTTTGTGGGATCCAAGGATCCGTCTAACACCTCCCAGGGCTTTTCGTGCCTCTCGGCATCCCAGGGCTGTTGGTTGGCCAGACGAGCGGGTTCCTTGAAGGACACACCGTTGTCCTGGAGGGTTTGGAGCAACTTCTGCAGCTTGCTTCCGGGCACCGCATCCACGTTGCACGTCATCTCTGTAATCCCCGACTGGAGACAACGATGGGCCAGCACTCTCCCGAGGTTTACGAACGCCGAGGTATCGTTGGTCTTGTAGAGCTGCTGTTTGATGGCCCATTCGGAGGTGCTGGCACTCAGGATGGTTCCATTCTCGAAGTGCTTGACATCGGCGCTGACATATCGACCACTGGTGTTGATCTCCAGGGTGTGCCAGTAGGATCGACCGGGTTTCTCCAGATGATAGCCACCCGGCTTGTAGGCAATTCGTAATCTCTCCAGATTCCTGGGATTCCGGTTGATCACATATTCAGTGCTGGTTTGGGGGGTGCTCAGAGCCTTGATTTTGTGCAGGACACGGGCGGAGGTGAGGGGGCGAGCGCTGCGAGACATATTTGCACCGGAACCACAGCAAAACCGTGTTTTTAATTGATACTTAGAAGGGAATTACAAAACCACGACAATATATTTTGAGGAGTCCCCTATGTTGCCAGATGGCCAGAAACAAGTGTTGACCAACACAGCCAGATGAAATTAGTGCTGCAGAATGGTCGAACTTCATTTCGAGGTGAATGGCAACTAACAGCTGATTTGGTTTTGTTTTTCTTTAAATTTCTAGTTTCTTCAGATTCTTTTGCCCTGACCTTGAGTTCCTTCGCCGCCCCCACCGAAAATACGACCCCCTCCAGACATGCGCCAAGCGGATCCGGCGCCCCCTGACGGTACGCCCATGAGTCTGCAGCCGAGGTGAAGAAGTGGCGGTTGGGCGAAGAAGCAAGCAGTGCGCGTCCAAAATTGCAAAGTGAATTTATTCGGCCTACAAAAATTGGTTATGTAAAACCCGTAGAGGCCCGCTAACTGCCCACGCATATCGTACTCGTAAAATTAAGAACTCGTTAAAATGTTGATGGTTGTGTGTTCCAATTTGAGGCGTCCCGGGCACGTGGGCGCCGCATCCGCTATGCGGAACCTAAACTGGATGATCAGCGGGGGATATAGGCCGCCGATCCAGGCACTGTCTCGGGTGAGCTTAGTTATAGCAACGGAGTCGTAAAATATTAAGGTTAAACATTGCACCCAATAAACATAAACAAAATCAGGCCATCGCTTTCTCTTCTTATTCACCTTGTTTCAAAAGCAACCACTTGTCGCCATTCCCACCACATTTGGCGGGAAAGTTTAAATAAACTTGAACAAGAAACCTACAATAAGTATTGCACTTGTGCAAAAATGTGACGATCTTAAAATTAAGTAAAACAAGATAAGTACAGACATACGATAATGGTGACACTAGACTAGTGAAAACCAATTTTAAAGCGATCCCGAAAGACAAATGTTCTTGAATGTCAATATACAAACATTCATTTTTTTTAATTTAGAAACAGGTTTTCATTGTTTTCAATGCGTTTGTATTAGTATCTTCTAGCTACCTCTCTTAGGTAAACAATAACACCTTTCCATCAGTACTATCTTGCTAAATAATCCATGGCAAGCAATTGATAACAACTCTCTTGCGAAACTCACCACCTTGCGCCTAGAACTCGAGCCCACCACGGTTGGCGCCCAAATTCGAATGCTTATCTCGTCAAGTCGCAGCAACGTGATCATTATTCACGGAAGCGCTTGGCTAAGCACTTTTGCCAACTGATAAAGATAGTTTCACAATCAGTCGACCACTTACTGTTGCCTCACTGCTCTCGCGCCCTTTCTTTCGCTCTGTCTCGCCTTTTCTCTCTTTGTTTAGGGACAGCCGCCCCCGTTTCATGCGTACTTTCTGCCTGTTGCACTTGGCGTTTTCAGTTGAGTCAAAAATCAGTTACGCTCGAAAGTTCCCGCCGTCCGGATGCGAAAGATTCTCAGGTGCAGGTGCCAAATGTAATACCTCTCGAACCGAGCTGAAGGTCGCCTTGGATCTCTGACGCCGTGAGTTTTTGCTGCATTAGTTGCGCGAAAATGCAACGTGGACTTCCGCAGCGGATTTTCACTGCGCATGCTGCTAACCTGTGGCACAAAGGCGGCTTTTCCCGGGGGTGGTGATAGGTAATCCAAAAGTTGACAAAGGAAATACATAAAGCAAGTATTCGAATCAAAATGCGTAACTCAGAGAGGCATCTGGCCAGACCCAAACACAAAAGGAAACTATTCTGGGGACCGACCGATAAGATTAAAGGCTATCCATGGTTAGCGGCGGGATTTGCCAAGTGCTCTTTCTGACCGCCGATAATCTAATTTCCATCCTTATCTGCAACCCACAGCAGTACGTCCAAGCTCCGGAGGCGCGGCCAGTGGCCGACGAGCGGTTTCCGGCCAGTCAGCAGGACCGCAAGGATATCGCCACCCAGACCGTGCGGAGTGGCCAGCCCAAGGACCTGTCACCGCCTCCGTCCACGTCTCCCCTCTCGCCGCCCATGTCCGACCGGAACGCCGATCCCGCCCTGGATGTGGGCCCCGGCGTGGAGGTGCCCTACAACATCGACTGGATATTCCCCAGGCTAAGGAACCCCACGAGGTTCTGGTACGTGGCCAGCCAATTCGTCATCTCCGCCGTCGGAATCTTCAGCAAGATTGTGCTGAGTGAGTATCTGTCTGCAGAGCTGACCTTACCCAACATCTGGCCCAAAGGCACGTTTATTTTTGGCCAAGCGATTCGCTCGGAGAGCTCACGCCCCTGACCGTGAATGTTAATGCGACTAAGACTGCGACTGCGAATCTCTCGGTTGATAAACGATGTGCGGATGCTGGCCATCGAGGTCAAACGTGTGCCGTGTTGTTAATTGGTGCCTCTGCACAATTATGCAAATGCTGATCTTTCGCCTCTCTATTTTGTTTTGCAGTGTTTCTCAACAAACCCCGCGTCTACAACAAGGAACGACTAGTCAAACTGATTTCCAAGCGACCCCAGGGCGTTCCCCTGCTGACCGTGTCCAACCACTACTCCTGCTTCGACGATCCCGGCTTGTGGGGCTGTCTTCCCTTGGGAGTCGTGTGCAACACCTACAAAATCCGGTGGTCGATGGCCGCCCATGATATCTGCTTCACCAACAGGCGGCACTCGCTCTTCTTCATGTTCGGTGAGACTATTCAGGATTAGTTGGTGTAGGATTGCAGGAATCGGGGGAAATTAACTGAACTTCTTTAGATATATTATCTTTAGATATAGTATCTTTAGTATAGCTAAGGAATTTATTAGCCTTTATTTGTACTCTATACCTGTATTTCAAACTAAACTAATCACTGACGGGGGCGCAACAACAAATTTCAACCAATTTTAGGCGGGTTTTTGTATGACATCTTAGCATAGGACTTTAGGAAACTTCAATGACAAAATATACCTATAACACGGAGGAAGTTTCCTCAATACATAAAACTGATAGTATAACTGATAATATAACAATCATAATCTTCTATAGTTACAACATTGATCAAGACATGGGAGTCGAAACTATATTTCCTAGTAACGAAACAAAGAGTTCTTTAAAAGTTTTCTTACACTACTCAGTAAATTTTATTTTGGTTTAATATTTGGGATAGATAGATAGATTATTTAATCGCTGATAATTTAAAGCTAAAAGACGACTAATAGTTTCCCTTCCCAACCCTAGGCAAGTGCATACCTGTTGTGCGTGGCATCGGTGTCTACCAGGAGGCGATAAACCTGTGCATCGAGAAGGCCGCTCTGGGCCACTGGATCCACGTGTTTCCCGAGGGCAAGGTGAACATGGAGAAGGAGGAGCTGCGGCTCAAGTGGGGCGTGGGCAGAATCATCTACGAGTCACCCAAGATTCCCATCATTCTGCCCATGTGGCACGAGGGCATGGATGAACTGCTGCCGAATGTGGAGCCCTATGTGATACAGCGGGGCAAGAAGGTCACACTGAATGTGGGTGAGCCACTGGACCTCAACGATTTTATTCTGGACCTTAAAAAGCGCCAAGTGCCGGAGCCCACGGCGCGGAAGCTCATCACAGACAAAATCCAGGAAGCCTTTCGGGTAATTTAAGATATTTTATGTTTTGTAATTTCTTATTAATGTACCATTTTCACAGGACTTGCGGGCGGAGACCGAGAAATTGCATAGAGAACGCAACTAGCAAATCATCATGGAAGAGCCTAGCGGCAGACATTTGTAATAATATTTATTTGTATAGTATTAAGCCTAAAATGAACCCTCGAAAGCCCTTACAATCCATTTATAATAATTATATTTCCGTGCATTATGGTTATTTCTTCCCGATGTAATTGCTGGAGAGGCACTTCAAATGAAACAGTGTGCATTATTAGTGTAAATATACAATTGAAATTATTAAGAGTAGAGGGAATATTTTGGCTGAACAAATAAAAAGCTCATCTTGAATTTAATGTTTTTTTTCTTGGGACAGAAAATATGTATTTTTAAGAGCACTAACTATTTCAATAAATAATTGTGTTAAAATGGCGCTTTTAAACACGATTAATATCGTTTTAGAAACAAATTTAGAAGGAAATGGGGCAACATTATCTCTCAGCTGTTCCAAAAATTTACCGTTAAGAGACCGGGCAAAAAGAAGGCCATGTGGGTTAATTATATTTCAAATAAATTTCAAAACCGAATAGGTCATTCTTAGTGTGCAGACAAATGGGGGAGCTTTTGCTGAATACGCCAAAGAGAAGGCAGTTGCTCAAGGATGGCCACCCCGTTTCCACCAGGTGCCAGATACTAGGACGCGGAGCCTACGGCACGGTTTTCAAAGCTATATACCGGGGTATGTTCAAAACCTTTGATGGAATTAAATAAACGGAAGATTTTTATGCAGATCGGTCCGTTGCTGTGAAAATTATTCGAGCCCAGGCTTCTTCAACGTTGCACAATGAATCGCATTTGATGAACTTGCAGCACAGGAACATTGTGCGGCTTCTAAAACTAGAATCCGCCGTGGAATTCGGCTTGGTCATCATGGAATGCCCCAGGGGACAATGCCTGCAGAGGATCGTAGACACTTTGGCGCTGCCACTGATGCACAGGGTTTTGTACGATCCGTTTGTCCTCTTGCTCTCGTAGACCCCAGAAATTAAACATTATCTTTTTAGTATAACCCTGGATGTGGTCGCTGCTTTGAGATACTGTCATTCCCAGAACGTATTACATCTGGATGTAAAGCCAACCAATATATTGGTTGCCCTGGGAATAAAGTCTTCGGGGGTTGGCAATTTATCCAAGGTCAAACGCAGTTACATCTGCAAGCTCTGCGATTTCGGTTCCTCCATTGAGATGGGCGAATCTTGTGCTAGACCAGAGCAAACTAGTGCCAATGGAACCCTGAGATATATGTCTCCAGAAGTGCTACGATCAGACACTCTATCCGAGGCCTCCGATATATACTCCCTGGGCATTACAATGTGGCAACTGCAAGCCCGCAGATTGCCCTATCACCCGCTCGATTGCAATGAAACCATAGCCTACCAGGTGGTAAAGCACGAGCTTCGGCCGGATAAGTACCATCAATTAAAGATTCTAGCTCTGGATTGCCCCAGCGATTGGAAC